TATACAACTTTTCTTTTAACCCATTCATCTGTTGATGGACACCTAGGCTGATTCCATAACTTGGCTATTCTGAATAGTGCCACATAAACATGCATGTGCAAGTATGTCTTACTGTATGCTGATTTGAGTTCCTTCAGGTGTATACCCAGGAGTGATATAGCAGGATCATATGGAAGGTCTACTTTTAGTTTTTTGAGAACCCCCCATACTGATTTCCATAGTGGCTGCACTAATTTGCATTCCCAACAGGTATAAAAGTCCCTTTCCCCCTCACCTCCTTGCCAGCATGCTTTTCCTTGATGACAGCCATTCTGACTTGGATTAATCTCAATATAATTTTTAATTTTGCATTTCTGTAGTACTTTTAAATGGCTGAACATTTTTTCATTTATTTATTGGCCATTTCTACTTCTTGAGAACTGTGTTCATTTGCCCCTTTAGTAATTTATTTGATTTTTTTGGTGTCTAATGTTTTTAGTTCTTTATGTATCCAGAATATAAATCCTGTCGGGTGAGTATCTGGCAGATTTTCTCCTGTTCTATAGGCTGACTTTGCTGTTGCTTTCTTTGCTGTGCAGAACCATATAAATTTGGTGCAATCCCATCTGTCAATTATTGCTATTATTTTCTGAGCTACTGGAGTTCTACTCAGAAAGTCATTGCCTATGTCTGTATCATCAAGTGTTTTTCACATGCATTGTTGTTAGTCTCAAAGTTTCAAGTCTTAGACTAGGATCGTTGATCTATTTTGAATTGATTTTTATACAGGGTGAGAGATGGGGGTCTACTTTATCTTCTACACGTGAATATTCCCTTCTCCAACAGCATTTGCTGAAAAGGCCACCTTTTTCCAATGTATGGTTTTGGCCCCTTTGTTGAAAATCAGATGGGTTTATTTCTGGGGACTCTGTTCTATTCCATTGGTGTCTGTTTTTGTGCCAATACCATGTGGTTGGTGCCCCCAGGCTCTTTGACTTGTGATTGTTCCTTTATTCAGGTCCTCTCCCAAGATGGCACCTGCGTACAGCACTCCCAAGATATGGGGGAAGGACGAAATTGATTTCTCTAATGCTGGTCTGCCATGCAAAAATGCAAATGTCACATCAAATCCTCACACTAGATTTAAGGGTTGTGAGAATCATAGGTTTCTCATGGGGCTAGGACTGCCAGTCTGTTGTTGCAGGGCTGCCTGGCTTACCTTATAGTTGTGGCTTTGGGTTCTCCTCCCTTAGGGGAGCTAGAACTGGAGTGGTAGACTGATTCCTATTTTTCTCTGTCACCTGTTTCTCCATCTTTGTTAGCTCTTTTCTCGATTCCCAGAGCTGCTTCTTTTTCTGTCCTTGGAATAGACTGTTATACTGACTCTTCTCATTGGGCAGAGTCATGTGGAGGAATCTTCTAATCCACCATCTTATACAGGAAGCCTAAACCACTTAATGAAACAATGGCATCTACACAGTAAGAAAACACAAGACCATAAGGACAAGAAGTCAGAGAGAAGAAATTTTATGAAATTGAAATAGAGCCATTCTTGAGATGGACCTGGAAAATGGAAATAAATATATAACTAAGCTATAAACAAAATCAATATTGGAAATGACACAACAAATTCCTTGTAGGTCAGTTTTGACTTTATTACCTTTTGGAAATGGCCAATATGCAATAGTAATAAGAGAAATAAGCCTAAATTGTTCTGCATAAGAAATGATATGGGTTGTTAAAATGGAACATTTTCTCATTTTTCATTATGTCCCCAAAGTCCAAGAATAAAACAAAAGGCAGAAAGAACTCCCATGTATCAAAGTGTCATATTAAATGGCTTGTGAAGGATTGACAGCTGACTTGAGGGCATAAAACAGATGAGGCTAGAAGCCTGGTGAGCACTTCAAATGAACTTCACAGTTTGACCTGGGTCACAAGGAGACAGTAGGAACAGTGAGTAGGTGGCAGGCTCACAGCTGGAAAAGCTGAAGTCAAGACACCATGTTTGGCTACTTGCTCTGATAGAGGAGCAAAGAGATAGTCCCTGCTATTTGGGACGCTGAAGCAGAAGGATCATTTGAACTCGAGTTGAGGGCAGCCAGGGCAACGCAGTGAGACCTAGTCTCAAAAAACAAAAACGAAAAGAATTTGCTGCTTTAGGATAGTCTTTATTGATAGTTTGTTGGAACTAACTGTGGGCCATGCCTAAGAGAGCCATCTTGCAGCTGGATTTAAAATGAAACTGGGAGTCCAAGAGAAAAGCAGCTAGAAACAACCATGTTAAGGAGATACTGCCTGGATTTCAGGGACTTTAGGAATCTCCAGTGATAGTCTCCCAAGATCCCACAAAACATTCCCTGATTGTGAGTCAGTTTTAAACAATGGCCACAACCAGTGCCCAGGGCCAAACAGTGCAAGGTACCACAGTTATCAGTGAGGTAAGACCTTTCCTTTATTCTTGCTTCTCTTTAGTCCTCTCCCCAAATTATGGAAGTCAGAGGCAGCCAGGAAAATTGAAAAAAGAAAGAGAAGTACAAAATAGAAAAAGGAAATTGGCCACTTTCCACACCAATTGAAGTCTTCCCAGGAGAGAAGAAATTTTATGAAATTGAAATATACTCATTCTTGAGATTTAAATTGGAAATCACTAGCTGAAAGAGTTATAATACTCAGTATTTCATTGACTGGACCTGGTGAGTTTGAGTGTGTGTGCTGGGAAGGTGGGAAAAGAAAGGAATATTCTTCTGCTGTATCTTGTAGAGTCTCATGTTAACATTACATCAAACATGAATTCTGTTCTAGGAGATGATCCAAGAAGGAGAGAGTGTGGTATGGGAGTCAGATGATGAAACGGACACTTTAGGTCCATAAGAAATGATGTCCAATGAAAAAGGTCACCCAAGGGCTTTTAGAAAACCTGAAGTCTGGTATTGTTTACAGATGCTCTGATGTGCTTCAGTGTAACAAACCTAGAAATCACAAACCTTTGTGCTTTTGTTAAATAAAGTTTAGGTACTTCAGTACTGGGTGATGAAATGGGATGTGTCTTGTCCATGCATTCTATCTGAATGATGTAAAATAATTACTAAGAATGTCTGTAAGAATGTTCCAGGTACTTTATTAGAGGAAACTGACCCAAAAATGTTATTAGAGGCAAAATCTACATTTTCTTTGTGAATTCCCCACAACTCTATTAAGTGCTAGCTCAAATAATGTTATTTTCAACACTTTAAAGGTAGTTAATGACAGCACTGATGCAAAAATTGTACTGAGTGCCCTCTAGTGGACATAGTTTCAAGAATCACAGGCTTGAGTGAAAACTTAGGAAGGAAAACTCTCCCACTGTCATGTCCTCTCCTTTCTCCTCCCTTATTCTCATTCTGTCCAAGTCTCCAAAACATACTAGAGTAGACTTTCTCTAGACTAATTCCAGCTCACCGTTCTGCTTTATCTCTTCTCCAGTCTCTTAGATTCCTGCCTTTCCCACCTGCACTCCTGTAGAAGCCTGTTATGATTAGCACTAAGCTTTCCACTTAAAGGACATTTGAACTTCTTAGTATTCTTTCTAGTTATGTTTACAAAATTATCTTTAGGTTCATTTGCTGTGGTTGTTGATTGGCATACACTTATTCAGAGAATGAATGGATTTAGATTCAGAGAGCTGGCATCATCCTACAGTCACCTATAAGTGAACGATCTAGTTTTGTCTAAACATGTTTCACTTCCATTCTGGAAGAGTGTGTTCTCTGAGCTTAGAACTGTGGCTGAGCAATTCAAACCTTTGCAGATATCCCACTGTCTTCTGGCTTCCATTATTTTTGTTAAGCCATCTGTCAGTGCAATTATTGCTACTGCTAATGGAAGTTTTGGGACTGAGGATGTTGCTAAGTGGTCGAATGCTTGCTGAGCATGTGTAAGGCTCTGAGTTTGAGTCCCAGAACTGCAAAAAAGAGAAAAGGTTAGTCTGGATTCAAGATTGCTTCTGTGTTTTTCATTTTCAGCAACTTCACTGTGATACATTTTTTTAAATGTTGTTTGGGATTTACTGAATTTGTTGAACCTGTAACTTGACTTGATACTCATTCTGGAAAATTCTCAGATTCTTTCAATACTGTTTCTGCCTTATCCGCTTCCTCCTTTCTTACTAGGACTCAAACATGTGATAAGACATTTTCGCTGAGTCCTGTGGTTCTCTTAACTTTCCCCTATTTTCCATCCTTCTTCTTTGCTTCAATTAAGATTGTTTCTCCTGACTTAGGCTTTTTATTTTGAATATACATCAAATATATGGCTATGCCTCTAGGCAGCTTCTTCTCAAGTAAGTTAATACTCCCAAAGCAAAGCAGTCCCACATAATGCTGGCCTCACCTCTCTGAACTTTCTTCTCGATTTGGTTCACTAATGACTAATTACATCGGTAACTCTGTGTTTTAGGAAGATGTTTTCCCATATTTTGTTCAGAATTTTAATTTTTCTTCAGCAGGATGGCTAACTTACCTAGTTTGCCATGACCACCATCAGAATCTGCAACATGGTTATTTACAACAGGTTCAATAAATTTACTCTCCACCAGGATAAAAATGCATTACCCAAATTTGTAACTGAGCATCAGACATGACACATTTAAATCAAAATTCACTTTCTCATGTATAAAGAGGTCATCTCTTCATTCTGAAAAGAATGAAGACTTGAATTTCAGAAACAATGACAATAAAAGCTTTCACAGGAAACTGGGCTGGTACCTTCTATATATGGTTGGCATTTATTTTAAATAAATAATATATTAAGTCTTCAGAAAACCAGGTTTTAAAAAAGGCATCTAATAAATCTCTACAGTGAATAGCATGTCTTTATTCTATTTACAGTACATTTGTTATAAATATAATACATTTTTGAAAAGCTTATTTTTAATTAACTTGAGTAGATTTATATTTTAAACAGATCAACTCAATTATTAAAGTTATATAATAAAGAATATGATTTTAATGACAAAAATCTCATATTGCAGAATAGTGCCATGAATGTGAGATGAATGAGGGGAAAAAAGTCAAACTCCTTTCAAAATTATATTCAAAGCATCAGAAAAAATGTTTTTCTTTTTACAAAGTTATGTATAAGCCATAGGGACCACCAGGTACAGAAATATGAAGACTCTATAACCAAAGTTCCAAACTGATTTTAGAGACCTGTGTGAAGCGTACAGGGAATTTTGTATATAACACTCTATAGAACTTCACAGTAAAGCTGGAATTTATAGACTAATGGCTTAACAGAAGAATTGCCAACAAGGCCTTTCCTTCCTCAAAATCATCTATTATTCATGTATCATTTGAAAAGTTGTAACAGCAGACTTAGATGGTTTTTAAGAGGGGGCTTAAGAAGGTGCATGGATATGCTGAAATTCTGTATTATGAGCATGTAAATTATTACTAGGTTTAAAAGAAAAAAAAAAAAGAAAAAGAATGTAAGTATTCTCAGTCCAACGTGCTTTGCATCATCAGCCAAATAAGTCAAAATATCCTGCAGTGATGAGACATCAACCTTCATGACAAGTTAGGTATTTCAAATACTGCTGTAAAACCAATTCGGCAGAATTAAACTGATTCTTGTGGCTTCAATATGAACTTGCAAGTCATCACACATTATTGATGATGATTAGAGCAGGCATGGAGTTCTGCTGACTTGTTTCAAATACTGTGACCTGGTCCGAAAGCTTGGCAAATACCCTAGGCGTTCCAAGGTTATAAACACCTGTATGAACAAAGCATGCTTTCAGCTGCAAACTGTGAATCTCCTGACTTTTAAGCTGAAGTTTATATTGTGTCTGTCCCAGCCATGTGAACGATCCATGGATTTCCAATGCTTCTGGACTAAAGAAGGAAGAAAATGGTAAGTTGTGAGGTTTCCTCTATAATTTTTCCTCTAAAGTCCCATTAATTGATCTCTTTCAATTAATACTTCTATTTCTAGGAATTATTTTATAAAGCTATCTGTTTATTAATACCTAGTCACAAATAAATTGTGCTTAGAAATTCAGAGAGCCATCCCAGATCTGACCCAAGGAGTTAGTTACACGATAATATTCAGTACATACTTCAAATTATTTTTCAAAGAATCCAAAATTTCTGAGTTCTAGAGCATCTGGGGTTCTAGGAGTATCAGATGTGGCAGTACAGATCTGGTTTTTTTTAAAGAGTAATTTTATAGTGAGGAAAAAACTTTAACCTTTTACTAAATCTTTACCTTGTTGTTTTATGTCGAAGATCGACTATCACATCTACATCAGCTTTAGAACAGTTAGAAAGCAGAAGGGTGACTGGTACTAAACAAAGGCTATGGAATAAAAAGAAACAAGAAAGGTTAGCTGTGTATTTTTTTCTTACAAACAATCTTCCTGAAAATAACACTTAAGAAGATCTAACAAGCTGGAGCTGGTGGCTCGTGCCTATAATCTAGCTGCCTGGGAGGCTGAGATCAGGAGAATGGAGGTCCAAGCCCAGCCCAGCCAAACAGCTCTAGAGACTCTATCTCCAAAATAACCAGAGCAGAACAGACTGGAAGTGTGGCTCAGTGGTAGCGAACTGCTCTGTAAGTGTGAAGCCCTGAGTTCAAATGCCAGTCCTACCAAAAAAAAAAAAACCTCTAAAGAACATAGGCACCTTAAACACAAATTTAAGGAAAAAAAATAGGAGTTCTGAAATATTCAATATAGTTTATTTTGTAGATCAAAATACATGAATACAGTGCCTCAATATGTAACATCAGAATATATACTTTATAGAACAACACTGTAAATAACGCAGATTTCCCTGAACAAAATCTACCCTAGGTTGTACTGATGCCAAGCCCTAAACCTCCCCACAAACTTCTCACATGGCAATGAGGGCAACGAAGACTGGTGAGCAGGTTTCCTCTCTGTAGCTAAATTCCAATTGCATAATTTGTACACCAAAGCAAAAAATTCAGAAACTCATTCTGTTCCTATTTATCCATACATGTCAAATTCTTAATGCTTTACCTAAAATGCTACTAGAAAAAAGAAATGTGATTATCTGGATGTTTCTTAGTCCAATATGAAATACATTCCCTTAATTTTGCTACTTCCTCCATTAACTACCTCAGTAAATAGCACCCGCATCTACCTGAGCAAAACTTAGGCATCAGACTGACTCCTCGTATTGCCTCACTAACCGCCACTCCACATCTTCTTAGAATTTCTGATAAACTACTTCTGGGGAATGGCTCAAAAAGTTGCATCTCTAAGGAGTTCCCAGCTGCTACTACTGCTCCTGTTCTTGGATTACATTTTGAAAAACAATGCTTTTTAGTGTTCTAACATGCTAAACCAATAAATCTCAAATGGTGCCTAAAGACTGAGCTGTTGAAAACTATTCCTTGACCTCTGTGCCCAATATTTAGTTATTAACCAACAAACTCGCACTAGTGATAGTAACTCAGTACAGCAGGGATTCTTTGGAAGAAGAGGAAAGAACGGATATTTTGAATATATGAGGTGAAGATGAGGCACGTGGAGTCTGAACCATCTGCAAATTCATCTACTCTGCCTGTCAAGCAGGGGCACACTATGTATGTGAGAACACTGCTCCAGCTCTCCTCTTTCAAGTCATCTATTGGCTTCATGAAAAACCTTCAGCACGTGTTTGCTTTCTTCCTTTCAACCCCAGGCCTTGCCATCATTTTGGACAAGTAGCCTACATTGATGACTCCTTTGACACATTCTCAAATCCCTGATCTGCCATCTCCATTAATCTTTAGCCACTCCACCAGCCCCTTTTTGTGTTGGATATTTTCGAGATAGGGTCCCACAAATTATCCACCTGGGCTGGCTTCAACCATGATCCTCCTGATCTCTGCCTCTTGAGTAGCTAGGAGTACAGATGTGATCTTCAACCAAATCATAGTCAACCTACAGATCATGAGTGTGGAAATAAATGCCTTACCATAAGCTACTGAATTCTGGAGAGGATTGTAGGAGGCATTACTGCAGCAACAAAAACTAAGAGAGATGCACACTGGTATTATCTGTGAATGTTAAACTACAGGTATGTGGGTGCTACTGCCACAGAGTCTGATTTTAACTGTCCTGAGCACCGGGAGCTTCAGACACTTCCAGATGGTTCTAATGTGCAGCCAAGGTTGGAAAAAGCTGCCAGATTTTCCTTATTACATCCTTGAACCTGCCTTGTTTTCATATATTTCCATGTAGTTTTGATTCTGTGATACTTCATTTAACCCACTTCTCTACTTTAGTTTGATCAATCCTGTCCTGCCTCACATACATCCCTATACTGCCTAGATTCTATGATGTTTTTTTAAACCCAGGAGCTTTATATCCCCAAAGCTCCTAAATATCCTGGCATCAAAATACAGCCAAGGTTTTAACCACTAAGGTTGAAAAGAGGTACTATGAATTAAAAATATATTCAGAAAGTACATGAAGGAAGACAGGTTTGATAAATATGGATAAAGTAGAATAGTGGGTTAAAATGAAGTATTATGGAATAAAAATGGTGCATGGAAGGATGTGAAACCAACACAAGTTCAATAAGGATAAAATACAGAAGTCCTTCCTCACCCCAACTTTGGCTGCACATTAGAATCACCTGGAGCACTTTAGAAAATCCAAGTGTGCTGGAAGTGGTAGCTCATACCTTAATCCCAGCTACTCAGGAGGTAGAGACTGAGAGATAGTGGTTTGAGGCCAACCCAGGCAAAATGTTAGTTGAGACCATCTCAACCAATAAGCCAGACAGTGATGGTATATACCAGTCGTCCTAGCTACAGGCAGGAGGATCACAGTCTGAAGGTGGCCTAGGCATAAATGTGAGACTCTATTAAAAAAACAACTAAAGTAGGGCTGGCGGAGTGACTCAAGTGGTAGAACACTTGCATAGGAAGCAGGAGACTTTGATTTCAAACCCTAGTACCACCAAAAAAAAAAAAAAAAAGCAAAATTTATATGTGTGTGTGTGTGTGTGTGTACACACACACACACACACACACACACACACACACATAAAGGGTTGGAAGCATAGCTCAAAAGAGTGAGTGAGGGAGGGAGGGAGGCAAGAAGGAAGAGGGAAGAATCCAGATGCACAGCTTCCTTATTGTCAGACCCTAAGATCACTTATTATTTGACCTTTCTGGAACACTTTAAACTATTAACCATTTCTATCTCTTGACCTATTCCCACCCAACCTTTGAGATGCTAGTTTCTTTTTGTTGGTCTTTCTTCTTTATTTTTTAATTCTTGACAACTAAGAGGTAGCTGAAACAATGCCTATCCTTAACCACAACTGTAACATATACAGTAATTATAGCAAAGGGTAAATTATATAATCAATATTTGGGGTAATGCTATTGCAAAGATAAATTCATAAATAAATACAGGTGTGTTCCTGTATGTATGCATGAATAAGTATAGAAAAATTTTAACAAAAATAAACCTCAAACCTTTTTTGGTGAAATGGATGATTAAATGATTCTGGGTAGTGAAGACTTGTTTTAATGAGGTTAGAAAGCTGGTCATGCTATTGCAAAGATAAATTCATAAATAAATACAGGTGTGTTCCTGTATGTATGCATGAATAAGTATAGAAAAATTTTAACAAAAATAAACCTCAAACCTTTTTTGGTGAAATGGATGATTAACATTTGATTCCTGCTGTTAGTGAAGGACTTGTTTTAATGAGGTTGAAACCAGCTGGCGCTTCTAACTGTGTCTTGAGGAAACTGTAGTGTTTTCTGGTCTGAAAAATTTTAGTAGTTCCATTTCTGGTGGCTCCTGAGAAAAGACAAGAAAAAATTTATGCAATAAGACACTTTGTTTGAAATAATAACAAAAAAAAGTATAGTGCAAAAAAACCAAAAGAAATTAAAACCAGTAGATAATGAAAAAAAAAATGAGCAGTACTTTTTCTTTTATTATTTAGTTTATAATATAATCTAGGATAAAGATACTAGGATCTGGAATCATTCACTTTCTCACCCTTAGTACCACAGTTAGACTTGAGTTCTACTCACTTTACATATTAGTTTTGTGATCTTATGTTGCTTAACACTTTAAGACTTAATTTCTTCATATGAAAAAAGGAGTGTATAACAGATGATTTTAATGGTTGATGTAATTATCATTCAGTAAAACTGCTTAGGAATTAGGCGGTAGACTTTAAATTCTACTATATAACTTTTAGTAACTGAAGGCCTTAAAATTACTTAAAATTCCATTTTGATATTTATTTTACAGATTATAGTGTTTCAACTATATTACCTAAAGGTCCATATGGAAGTAAAGTCAATGTAGAGGAAGACAGAGCAAGATCGTGGCTGAGTAACAACCCCCAGCATCTCTCCTCACAGTCACACCAACAGAGAAGGGCAGCCTGTGAGTAGACAGGGGACTGGGAGACTTGGGAGGACTCCACAGGTCAACCAGTGAGTGAAACCAGATTCAGGGTACAAATGAATGAAATAGAGACTAAAAACACAATACAAAAACACAAAAAGTTGATTCTTTGAAAAGCTAAACAAGATTGATAAACCCTTAGCCAAACTAACCAAAAGAAAGGTCAAGAACCAAATTAATAAAATTAGAGATGAAAAAGGGGTATCACAACAAATACCAATGAAATTCAGAGGATTACTGAAGAATACTTAAAAAACATGTATTCTAATAATTGAAAAATCTAGAAGAAATGGATAGATTTCTAGGTGCATATAACCTACCAAAACTGAACCAAGAGGATATAACCACTTAAAAAGATCTATAACAAGAATGAAATTGAAGAATATAGTCACCTAATAAAGAAAAGCCCAGGACTAGATGGATTCACTGCTGAATTCTACCAGACTTTTAAAGAACAGCTAGCACCAATGCTCCTCAAACTATTCTATGAAATAGAGAGTAAGACAAAGAAAAAAGTGTTTAAAAGAAGAAAATTATAAACCAATTTCTCTGATGAATATATCTGCAAAAATTCTCAATAAAATACCTGCAGATTGAATTCAACACATTAAAGAGATTATACATATCACAACCTCAGGTTGGTTTCATTCCAGGGATGCTTGATGATTCAACATACACAAATCAATAAATGGAATAAAGCACATAAACAAAATAAAGGACAAAAGTCACATAATCATCCAGCAGATGCAGAAAAACTCTGTGACAAAATTCAACGTCCCTTCATGGTAAAAACGCCAATAAAACTAGGAACAGAAGGAAAATACCTCAGTATAAGGGCCATATATGACAAATGTATAGTCAACATCATACTAAACAGGGAGAAACTGAAATTAAAGTCAGGGACAAGACGAGGGTATTCACTCTCTTCACTCTTACTTAATATAGTGCTTGAATTCTTAACCAGAGCAATAAGGTAAGAGAAGAAAATAAAAGGGATACAAATAGGAAAGGAAGAAGTCAATTTATCACTATTGTAGAGATAGTCTATACTTAAAGGACCCTAAAACTCCTAGACCTGATAAAAACGTTCTGTCTACGGCCACACCACCCAATCTCATCTGATAAACGCATTCTGCAAAGTAGCAGGATACATACAAAAATCAGTAGCTTTTCTATATACCAACTGTAAACAGGCTGAGAAAGAAATCAGGAAAACAATTCCATTTACAATAGGCTCAAAAAGATACCTAGTAATAAATAAGGAGGTGAAAGACCTCTATAATGAAAACTGTAAAACACTGAAGAGTCAGGCACCAATGGCTGATGCTCGAAATCCTAGCTACTCAGAAGGTGGAGATCAGGAGAACTGCAGTTCCAAGCCAGCCCTGGGAAACAGTTAGAGAGACCCTATCTCGAAAATACCCAACAAACAAAAAAAGATGGTTGAGTGGTCAAGTGGTAGAGGGCTTATTTAGCAGGTGTGAGGTCCTGAGTTCTCCAAAAAAAAAAAAAAAAAAAATCAATCCTAAAATTGAAGTAAGACCCAAAATACCAACAGCAATCCTAAACAAAGAGAAAAATAAATGCTGGAGGTATAACAATAACTGACTTCAAATTACACTACTGAGCCACAGTAACAACATGGCACTGTCAGAAAAGCAGACATGTAAAACACCTAGAAGTAAATCCACAGAGACACACCCATCTGATTTTTGACAAAAGAGCCAAAAACATACATTGGAGAAAACACAGCCTCTTTAATAAATAGTGCTGGGAAAACCAGATAACCACATATATAGATGACCGAAATTAAACCCAACTCTCACCCTGTATAAAGATCAATTAAAAATGGATCAAAGATCCTAATGTAAGATCTGAAACTCTGAAACTGCAGGAAAACATTTGCAGTTATTAGGCATATGCAGTTCTTTTCTCAACAGGACTTCCAATTGTCCAGGAAATACGAGCAAGACTTGACAAACAGGATTGCATAGGTTTTCGAGGTGGTTGTTTTTTGTTTTTTTTTTTTGATGGGACTGGGGTTTGAACTCAGGCCCTCACCCTTGCTAGGCAAGTGGTCTACAATTTGAGCCACTCTGACAGCCCATGATTGCATAGTTAAAAAACTTTTACAGATCAAAGGAAACAACTGACAAAATGATCCACAGAATAGGAGAAAATCTTTGCCAGCTATTCAGATAAAGGATTAATATTCAGAATATACAAAGAGCTCAGAAAATTAATGAAATATAATTTGCAGGAAAGTGTTTTAATTATTATTTTCATCTAAGTTATTTTTTCTTTATTTTCCCCTCACTGTCAAGGAAAATTTTAATTTCCTGTTTAGCCTACTTTGATTCTCATCTATAGGGATTGGGAGCCCATAGCCAGTGGGCCAAATTAAGTCTGCCTCCTATTTTTGTAGGGTTGTTTTGGGTTATTTTGCTTTGTGTTCTTTTCTTTTTGACACATATTCTTGCTATGTAACTTAAGCTCACCTGAGAACTCACTATGTAGATTGGCCCTGAACTCAAGATTCTCCTGCCTCAGCCTCCCGAGTGCTGGGATTTCAGCATAAGCTAACACATCCAGCTGTAAAGAAAGTTTTATCTAAACAGTCATACCTATTTGATAACATACTGTTTATAGCTGCTTTTGGGTTCCAATGGCAGAGATGAGAATTATGACTGAGAATGCCTGGCCAGCAAATACTAAAATATTTAGTTTCTGGCACGGTTTAGAGAAAGTTTGCTGACCCCTGATCTATGCGGGTATAAAAGTAAGAAATACATTTGATAAAAATAACTATGCTATTGGTTCCAATAAGGAAGTCCAGATTCATCCCAGCAAGTAAAGTGACAAGTTACATTAATATATATTTGTACATATTCCAGTAACATTCTGGTGCTATTGATAAAACTGCAGAGTTTATAACCTATTAGTGGTAAAAGATGAGAATTTAATCCTATGAGCCAGCAATTTGTAGAAATTTATTTCACAAAAAAATGTGAAAAGCAAGACTTTTGCAATTTGTATGATATATAAATGTACGGAAATTGACTAAAATGGTGTACAATGACCAAATAAAGTTGTACAGTATGTAAAAAGTACATATATTTCCATCCTTATATTTACATGAGCACAGAATATTCCCGAAGAATATAAAAGAAACTCGATAGCAGATAACTCTAGAGGCCATAAAAGAGAACAGAAAGAGAAAAGCAGAATTTGCTATTTATTCACTTGTATTTGATTTCTTTTGGCAATAAGAATTACTACTTTTGTAACAGAAGTTAAAAGAAACAAAAAAGACATACCAGAATGCATTAAAAAAAAAAAAAAAAAAAAGATGTGCCAGTGGCTTACACCTTGTAATCCTAGCTACTAGGGAGGCTGAGATGGAAGGATCACAGTTCAAGGCCAGCCAAGGCAAATAGTTTACGAGACCTGATCTCCAAAATAACCAGAGCAAAATGGACTGGAAGCATGGTTCAAGGAGCAGACTGAGTTCCAATCCCAGTCCCACCATATAAAAAAAAATTCTTTAGCGGAACCAAAGGGAGAAACTACAGAATATAATATAATAGTCTTTACATGCGTCAGATGAGTGGAAGTGGTTACATTTTAAATAGGAGGGAAATTAACTCAGAAAGGTTAAAGGTTGAGTAAGATATTTAATGTTTTGGGTGTCTCTTTTGCATGGTTCTGGGGACTGAACTCAGGCCATCTGAGCCACACCCCTAGTCCTTTTTGCCTTTAGTTTGTTTTTCAGATAGGGTCTCATGCTTTTGCCCAGGATAGTCTCAACCATGATCCTCTTACCTGTCTCCTCAGTAGCTGGTATGCCACCATGCTGGGCTTCTTTTTGAGATATGGTTTTGCTAACTTTAACTCAGGCTGGCCTCGAACTACAATCCTCCTATCTCTGCTTCCAAATAGCGAGGATGTTCAAGCCATCCTCCTGGCTTGAATAACATTTTTTAAGTGGCACAGCTCTATTTGACTCTCAAAGCCCATGCATTTAATTACTGTGCAATATTGCTTTAGTAATGAAATCTTCCTCTTCTAACCATACAACTTATAATTTTGAGCTAGATGTGGTGGTACTCACCCATAATCCCAGCATCTGCTGAGGTAGAAGGATCTCAAATTTGAGGTCATTCTGGATATAAAGTGAGACCATATTTCAAAAAACAACAAAGACTGGAATTATGGCTCAAGCAGTAGTGTGCCTGGTATGCAAGCACAAAGTCCTGAGTTTAAACCCCAGTCCCACCAAAAAAAAAAAAAAAAAAAAAAAAAGTATGCAATTCAAAAAGCAACAAAAAATATAATTTTACATGCCTGATGAAGCAAGAGAATTCAGATTATAAGGACTT